GATTATCCCTTAATTTTATAAATGAAAATAGTAAGATTATCCCTTAAAAAAAGATGGAATTTAATCACTAAACATTTTTTTTATATCTCGCGTGTATCAATTACAAGTACAACTAAATTTATTTAATTAATAGACCGAGTCTTGCAACGACAGGGAAACATAAAGCATTTTTCGACATAAGATTTTAATTGAAAATTAAAGAGCTGCAAGGACTAAAAATAACTTCAACCTAAGCATGCTCAACCAACATTCCTTAAGATGTTAACCCCTAAAATAAGACTGGTAGTTATGCCACGTGTCCCTCTTCAAAACAATCTACAGTACTCTTCTTCTATATAAAGTTCTCACCTTTGTCTTCCATTCATCCTTCAAGAACCTCCAAAATGGAGAACCTTAATTTTATTTCTGTCTTTCTCCTCTCACTTATCGCGATATCTCACGCGATTTTATCAGACAATGCTTATCTCAGTCTCGGGAAGTCAAATTTCCCGTCTGTGCAAGCAGAGAAGCTGATAAGGGAGCTGAATTTGTTTCCAAACTCAGAAGTCAACGTGATCGACCGTGGTGATGATGGTGCAAGTGTTATTAACCAAGCAGGGTATAATAAGAGGATTGTAGAGAGGAAATTTAGGTTTCCTAATGTAGTTGGTGATGAGGAAGAAAGCTTTACTGTTGATGATCTGGGAAATCATGCTGGTTATTACAAGATTGAGAATTCTCATGATGCTAGGTATTTGATTTTAAAAACCCTTGATTTTTTTGGTCCAGAGTTGAGTTTGGGGAGATGGGTTTTGTTGGCTTTTTTGTTTGCTTGTTTTGGTTTGGTCAAAGTTTTGATTTTTGGGTAAAGATTGGATTTTTGAGGTTTGAGATTAAGTGGATTGGTGATTTTTTTTGAGAATTTGTCGTGTGTGTGCCGTTGAATGTTTGATTTTGTTGGAAGTTGAAAGAGTGGAATTTTCAGTTAGTTTGTTGGTTTCTAATTATTGATGCTGTAATGAATGTTTGATTGGGGTTTCATTTTATGTCAAGTATCATTTTTTTCTTTTCTAAAAAAGATTGGATTTTTGGAATTGAAGTTTGAATGGGTTGTTAAAAGAGTAATTTTTTTTTTTTGAAGTTTGTTTGTTGGTTTCTAATTAGTGGTTACTAATTGGTGCACTTATTGTTTTGTAGGATGTTTTACTTTTTCTTTGAATCAAGGACCAGCAAGAAGGATCCTGTGGTCATTTGGTTGACTGGAGGACCAGGGTGTAGTAGTGAACTGGCTATGTTTTATGAAAATGGTCCATATACTATTGCAAATAACTTGTCGCTTGTGCGAAATAAGTACGGATGGGACAAGGTAAGATGCCATTAAATCTTCTTCAGTTTATGCAGTACTTAATTAATACTGGACTGTAATTTCATTGTTCTTTCTTCATAAAAAAATAAACGTTTTCCATAGTGTAGCAAATGTAAATTGTGAAATATCATATAATGTTATGCCAAATGGAGCAAATATCCAATTTTTTACCCAATGTTATTAAAAGTGTGTTTCGTATTGTGTATTATTTACAAATCCTGGCCCTTAATCAACCTAGAGTAGGTGTTGATAGCCTGATGTTGATATGTTCTGTACTTATCATGGGCATGCTGCCGTCGGCATTGAACCTGCAGGCTTTTATGTGATTTCTTTGTTCCAACTCTTAAGCTAGCTGCTTGGTCAGTAGTCAGTTGTTTATTTGATGAAGATCCTTGATTGCATTTTGTGAATATCTCCCAACAAAATACTTACACTTGCACTTTAGAGTTATTTTCTTCATTTTGACACACGGTTGCACTTTATGCACTGGAGTTCACTTTAACTTGGTTCTCAGTGCATTGGTGGTTTGTTTGTGATATTGTGTTAGCAGAAATACGAAGCACAAATTAAATAAGATGTGTTCTGGAAAAAATGAAGGATCGTTACTAGTGCTATTGAGTTTGGCTTTTGTTTCTCTATTCCTTTTCATTAATTTGGTAGGGAAGAACTGCAACTTCCCTGCTTGGTGACAAGAGAACTAACATGTTGCTATGATGATTTTGCAGGTGTCAAACCTTCTATATGTTGACCAACCTACTGGGACTGGATACAGTTATAGTACTGATAGGCGAGACATCCGTCACAATGAAGAGGGAGTTAGTAATGATCTATATGACTTCTTACAGGTTAGTTATCCTGTATTTCCCTGTGATAAGAAATGAAATAGAGCATAATATTCTGGCATCCCCGTGAACTTCTTATATATTAATTTCTTAGGAAAGAACTGTAATTGCTAAAGTTTTACTTTACTGAATGCTAGTCTTAGTTTGGGACACTAAAAACACATTATGTGAAACTTGAAAGGATTGGTGAATTGTTGTTTAGAAATGATTAAGAATTGTTGTTTAGAAATGATTAAGATTTGTTAAAGCAAAATATTGGGAGGGACTCAAGTGCATTCTTTGTATGGCACCAGGCCTTCTTCAAGGAGCATCCTGAATTGGCAAGGAATGACTTCTACATAACTGGAGAATCATATGCTGGCCACTATATTCCTGCTTTTGCAGCCCGAGTCCACAGAGGAAACAAAGCTAAAGAAGGAATTCATATAAACCTCAAGGTATATTAATGATTTTGTCTAATACTGACCTTTGATGGATCTGTTTTCTATATTTATTAATTGCAATAAAAATTTTGGAGCAGGGATTCGCCATTGGTAATGGGCTCACTGATCCTGCAATCCAGTATAAAGCATACACAGATTATGCGTTGGATATGGGAATAATTAAACAAGCTGAGCATGATCGCATCAGCAAGATAGTTCCAGTGTGTGAAATGGCAATAAAGCTTTGTGGTAATGTTTTATCTCAATTTACTCTAATTCCTCTAGGAGATCATTGTCCTACTTGATTTTTTCTAGATCCCATTTTTGTATCAATCAAATTTGTTTTTCAAATTTTTCTCCATGCATGAGGGTTGGACTTTTAGCTCCTGGTTCCTTGCTTGAACATGTGCTTTCTGTCTCAGGCACTGATGGTACAGTCTCTTGCTTGGCCTCCTATTTAGTTTGCAATACCATATTCAGCAGCATCTTATCAGTTGCTGGTAATATAAATGTAAGACCTCATAAACCCTCCTGTTGGAGTGTTCATGTGCAAATTTTTTTTTTTTCAATTTCCAATGTGCTCCCATTGATCATATCTCTCCTTGAAGGAATTCTTCTATACATTCAATAAGATATGTCCTTGAGGAATTTATATCAGATGCACTTTTGTAGATGTGAAAATAATCTGCATACTGGATGCATTGTATGTATAACACCCAACCAAAATTGACAAGCATTGATATATTATCCCTGCAGTATTATGACATTAGAAAGAATTGCGAGGGGAGCCTCTGCTATGACTTCTCAAATATGGAGAAATTTCTGGTCCAGAAATCTGTTAAGGAGGCACTTGGTGTTGGGGATATCGACTTTGTTTCCTGTAGCCCTACAGTCTACCAAGCGATGCTAATGGACTGGATGAGAAATCTTGAAGTGGGCATTCCTGCTCTCCTTGAGGATGGAATCAAATTGCTTGTCTATGCTGGAGAATATGATCTCATCTGCAACTGGCTTGGTAAGTAGTACCAACGATTAAGGTACAGCAAGTTTCACTTACTTATTTATCCAAGGCTGAGGGTAAATCTCACATGAGCAGGTAATTCAAGATGGGTTCATGCCATGGAATGGCCTGGTCAGAAGGAGTTTGTGGCATCTCCTGAAGTTCCTTTCGAAGTTAGTGGTTCTGAAGCTGGAATACTGAAAAGTTACGGGCCTCTCGCATTCCTTAAGGTCTCTCTCCCTCTTTCTCTAAAAAACGATAGCTTCCATTTGCTTTACCAAAAACCATAGCTTCCATTTTATGATGAGTGCTAATCTTGTTGCGCGATGCCTCTGCCAACAGGTCCATGATGCCGGGCACATGGTTCCCATGGACCAGCCCGAGGCTTCATTAGAGATGCTGAAGAGGTGGACTCGGGGCGCATTGTCAGAAGCCACAGAGGAGCCCCAACAATTGGTTGCTGAGATTTGATTGCCTTTATCAAGCATTAATAAGAGTGACCGCAATACATGGTTTCCTTGGTTTTTCCTGTAACCTTGTAAATATTATTTTCTCACGGATCAAACAGAATCCTAAACAACGGGTATCTTGGCATTTGATTCTTTGAAGATTAGAGACTGCTAGAATCGGAGTGTTCTATGGATGCATGCTTGTTTGTGTAGCTGCTATATAGTTTGTGATTTGTGCTGGAATCTTACATTGCGCGTATGTGTTTGAGGACTTTTAGCCATCTAACAACATGCTATTAAAAGAGTCAAAATGAAGAGTCAAAATGATTTTTCTGTTGAATAATGTTCACTCGTACATTTCTATTAAAAGAGTTAAAAACATAAAATAAATTATTTGAAGATTTATTTTTTTCCGAAGGTTTTTATTAAAAAAAAGAAAAATATTAATATTAAATACATTAAAATACAAATGGATTGATAAAATAAAATTTTTAAATTGGAGTGCATATAAAAAAAACTATATTTATGAAGATATATCGACAATTTAACTCTTTTATATTACTTCTGTTTTTGTCATTGGATATATTTTCCCCGCTAATTTAGGGGACGGATTTATCTTGTTTGAACAATGCGATTTCGTAGTAACATTTTTTATCTATTTATTTATTACAGTAACATTTTAGTTTCTATAATGGTGACAGTGTTACCGTTCAAGGATAACTGATGAGAAATCTAGTGAAAGCGCTGGTACGGATTAAAATTCAAATAAATTATAACTTGATCCTGATGTGTCCAAATATCTCTATCAGTAACCCCCCCAACGCCCCCCCCAAAAAAAAATAAAAACCACCTCCATACCTCTTATCGTAACTTGATGTGGCAAGTTATTATTGGATACACGGAAGATCCTGGTAACAGCAACACGGGACAAGATCCAAACCGTGTACTACTTTTATCAAGAACATAAAACAAAGGATTACAGTTTAACTCCCAGAAGATAAGGAAAAGAAGTGCTCGCTTTCATGGCTGCTGCTCTTGCATTCTCAACCAATCGTTTTTTAAATTCTCGTGCCCTTCTGTTTCCTTCAGTTTCATCAAACCCTCTTGTAATCTCAAAGATATCAACAGTTTCTTATTTATCAACAAAAGATGCAGGCCATCACATGAAGCTCAAGAACCCCTCACGAGCATCTGCAGAGGGTATGCTTAGCAGCTAGCACCCTTTCAAGTTCACTAATTAGGACTGCTTCAGTTAAGACCTGCACTTATCTCTTGCAGGAATTCCTAGTGAGTTAATGGATGAAGATTCAAAGTTTGTTCCCTTAAACGCGGAGGATTCTGCATATGGTCCACCTGTAAGTTCTGGTTAGTTATTTTCCTATTGCCTTCAAATTTGAACATTTCCTGTCACTATGCAATTGATTTTTATGTTTTGATGTGTAAGCCAACGAACATATCCGGCCTCTATTCAAGTGAGGCTAAAGAACTCTTTTTATTTTGCAGGCCTTGTTGTTATTGGGGTTTGAAGTAGAGGAAGCAGTGAAGGTAACTCTTGTTTTCTGTCTACTGACCTTTATGGAGATTGCCAGTACTAATATTGATTTGTGGCATTTTTTTATAACCTATTGTCGTCATTCCTGATAAGTGCGAACCATTAATATGATAGTTAGCTTATGCGTTGGTTCAGAGGATACTGGCTAGGCCAGCAGAATAGTTACTGCAAGTTCCAACATTTGGACTACTTTAGGTCTGATCAATATAATTCTTTGCCTAATTTCTGGGAAGAACAACTCCTTAGAAATTAATCTCTCTCTTGAAGGCATCAAAATAATTGTTGAAGGCAGTATGTCCCGGAAACATGTCTAACTTTGTACAACTTTGAATCTTCTTGGAACAGATAAGGCAGCTTCTGAAAGAGTTGGATGGTGAATTCTTAAAGGTAATATAGAATTCTCTATTTATCGGCTCATCTTCATCTAATTGGATTGTGGATATAATAAGAAATAGCTGGAACATCATGAATTCAGTGTTGAGGCAAATCCAAGATATATAACTAAATGGTTATTTAGTGTTTGGGATAATGATTAATCAATATATTCAAGGGGATTTAAATTATTTAGTGTTTTGAATACCTGTAAAAACAGTTCCAATCAAGGGGATTTAAAGGCCCTTCGATCATATAATATATTTATGGGATATTTATTAAATAGGTCAAGACAATAAATGATTTTAAAAAGCTTTAAATTCAAAGAACAAAATTCTTGAGTTTTATTTAAGAAGATTTTTATTTTACAGAAATCTTAACCAAAAGTTAGCTCATCATGAGGTTTTGTTTTCTTACTGAGTTTTAGCATCACATCAATGCATGGAATAGAATAATGGCACAGAAATAAGTGATCTAACCAAGCAGAGTCCATGAAATTTGTTTGCGAGGGGAGAGAGGGGGGGGGGGTGTTAATCACTATCGTTGTAGTTGTTTTTGTTTTCAAGACTTGAGGCTCGAGACAACGTAAAAAGGATGTTGTGATGGATGCTCAACATGTAACCAAGAATATGGATACTCTTCCGAGTGTTATTTAACTGGTTTGTATTTTGATGTTCTCCATTGTAGGTTATTTTTTGTACTGAAGACATGATTCCTCGGTCGCTATGGGAAGCAATGAATATAAGTCAAACAAATTTGGAAACTGTGAAGGTTGGTTTTCTTAACATGCTGCCTCCAGCAGCCTGTTCTTATTCCTGCCTGTTTACGATGCATTTAGCTATCGGGGGATGGTTAAATACTTGGGTCTTGTGAATAGTTTTGGTGGAAAGACCAGCAATTGGAACGTGGAAGAACATGTTCTTATTAATCAATATCATGAGTTTGCAAAAAGAAAGATAGCAAGACGAGTTGATGAATAAAGAAAATCAATTAATTTGGCTGTATTTCTCTGCCAAATCATGCAGGAAGGACGTCATCTGTTAATACTGTCAAACTTTGTGTACTGTTTTAGAAGTTGCCTGAATTTATTGTATCCTGTTCTGCAGATTGCAAAGTCACTGCCACGGATCTGCTTCTTGTCTGGCCTTAGTGGGGAGGAGATGATGATGTTCATTGATGCTTTTCCAGAAACAGGTATTCCATTGTTTTTCTTGATAAAGTAAAATTAGTTTAATGCAATTATTAGTTTGACAGTAATTTAATTCTAACTTCAAATCATAGTCATGTCACAAGGTTTTAGTAATCGTTGCCATTAAAAAAATTTGTTAAGTGCATGGTATCGAATTGACTGGACAGGATTTAGTACTCCATCCTTTTTTTTCTAATGGAAAATAATATAGCAAATGATTCAACCCAATTAGCCCCAATTAGCCAGAAGAGATCTCCATCTTCCCCTTCATGGATGAGGGCGGTGCATGGGCGTATCATTATTCTTGCACGTAGCAGCAGTATGCATTATGCAACAGGCATAAACCTGCTCTTTTGGCTATATACAGGACTAGAACCCGCTGTGTTTGCAGCTCTTGTTCCAAACAGTTCTGACAAACCACTCGAGGAATTAATAGAAGAAATTATGGGGGACCATGAAATGCTGGTGAGCTGATCTTGCTAGCTTTGATAAACTCCCGAGCAAGCATCTCCATCTAAGTTCTCACCAATGATAAAATTTAATTTCCTGCGCAGGCTGCAAATCAACCTGGTTCAACAGAGGCAAAATCAGACTCTACCTGAAGACTCGAGATTATTTCTACTGTCGTTCATGGGGTTTTCAGACAATAAAGTTCTCATTGATTGTGATTTCTGGGGACAAGAAGTCACGTTTTCTCCTCATCAGTCGAGGAAGTTCTTTTTTTCTTCTTTTGTCAGAATAATAGCATATATTGAACCTCCATTGTTGTTAACCAGAAAGAAAGGGAGAAACAGAATAAATAGCTAAGTCGAGTTTTCAATTTTACCACTCAGGTTAATATTTCCTACTTCCAAAAGCATGTAGATAGGCATTCTTAGTAGCAATTGTACAGAGCTCTCGTTTTTTAATATCAGAATAGCAAGCAACAAAAGAGATGAGTGAAAAATCTGAGAGTCTATGAAACAATTAGAAAATGGACACCAGTGCGAAGTCTGACAGTTTATGCAACAGAAGTATATGTACTGTTCTTTCTACCGAACGTGTTACAAACACAGATTTCACTGTAGTGAATCCTTGTATCTGCTGCATCTTTGTGCTTTAGCAAGATCACCTGTTTAAAATTCTGGCTGCAGCCGAGGCAGCTCCTTCAGAAAAGCTACGGCCAAAGATGTAAAGAAGGATCTGTCTCCAACCTAAAGGTGGTCATAATCTCTAACAGAAGAGCGAGAATTCCAAATAAATCTCAAATCACATGCCAAAAACAAATTCCAAAGCCTTTACAGCGTGAATACTATTGATTAAATTTGGATGAAAGATGTGATTATACCATACAAAAGCATAGCACAAATATCAAAAACAAAAAAATAAAAATTGTATGAATATATTTTTAATTGAAAAATTCTTTTAAAAATAACATACATCATAATATTAAATATTTATTAAATTAATTTAAAAATCAACATATTTTATTTTAAAAGAAGACACTAATTAACCTAAAACCTAAAATATAAGAAAAATGGCCTTATTTTCGTTCTATTAAGTAGAGAGTAATGAGTTTAATAATTTACCTCGAAACGTAAACAGTGAAAAGAAAAGGGAGAGGAGCAACAGAACATTATATACTTTAATTAATTTATTTTCATAAATAAAATAGTTTAATTTACCGTGTAAAAGTATGCCCCCATTTTTATTTTTTTGTTAAAAACAAAAAAAAAAAAAAATCTTATCCATCAACAAACTCAGAAACAAAATTTTTTTGTCTTTTCATGGCTTATGTCGTCAACCGTGTCAGAAACAGATAAATAGATTGACAATTTTTGGTTCCACTCCTACCGACGCCTTATATTATCAAACCCCCAAAGCTAAAATATTGTCTAGCATCAAGCAAAGTTTCAATCTGTTATGGTCCATCGCCGAATCTACAATAAAAGTTGGAAAGATTTAACTTCACGAAACAAGAACCTGAAGATTGTTATTATTTTCCACTCCTGGGTCTTCCTGTAAGTGATTTTCGCTTTCCCCCCCCTTTTTCACTGGGTATAATTCTTTTTATCTACTCAAAGATTGTATTTACCGAACCGTATGTATTTGATATAATTCGATGTTTTGAGAACTGGGGTTTGTTTCTTGTGATTTTCTCACGTGGGATTGGATTTAAATGTCTGATATTTGGTTTAATTTCAATTTTCGTGTTGTGTTGTGCGTTGTTGATAAAATGTTTTACTGGAAGCTGTTTAGTGGGAAAATCATGGAATGTTTAATTTCTCAATGAAGAATGAGCTGTAATATGCTATTCAATGCAGAGAAAACATGAACACTGGTGAAATAATCATTAAACGTGACGAGGAAGTTCTTAACTTTGAGCAGAGAAAGTGGAAATCAACTGAAGAAATAATCTTCAATGGTCAAAGAATGTGTCAGAGAACTTTTTGATATTGTTGTACTAGTATACCCTTTTCATTTGAATTCTTTGTTTATCCACATTGAGTAGCAGTTGCGTTTGTAATTTGTGACAAAAGCAGTAATGAACTGCCACTGGGCTTTGACAAGATGCATGGCTTCTCCATGGTTGATGGCTTTGCGGAGATAACTGAAAGCTTGGCCGAGATGATCAAGTATATAGCGAACGAACCCTCGGTAGGGCTTTTCTATGTTCAGCAGCATACTCGGAATGCAGTTCCGAATGTCATTAGGCTCAAGAACAATGTTGTGGAGAAGTCACGTGAAACAAATTTGCACACTGAAGACTTGGAGGATTCTATCACCGTGGTGAAGTCAATGAAAGAATGTGGTTTCCCTGTTGCTGATGAGATGATTAGAGACATCAGGAAATCTTTAGCAACAATGTCAGCTAAACAACCAAGAAGAGGATTAATTAATAGCCCAGTTTCAGGTTTTCAGATGGGAAGAACCAGCTCACGGGGACCAGGCACTTGGGGTCGTAATGGAGATGATGCCAGGAAGGATGGCAAAAGAACGAGCAATTACTTTTCAACTGCATTTAAATCTGCCAAAGAAAGGGCAAGCAATTTCAAGTGGCCACCACGGGATTCAAAAGAATCAACCACAAAACAGGCAGAAAAACCGTTGTCTTATCCCAATCCATCACAATTGGTCGGTATCTCTAGTTCATCTTTGCCTGATGCAGAACTTGATGAACTGCCCTTGTCCAGTCTAACTGCTGACGAGCAAGATTTAGATAAAGAAAAGGATCGGGTTGGTGTAAATTCACCACCTCGTAATATATTGTTGGTAACAGAAAACCACGATGACTTCCAGGCTGATAAGGAAGCCAAGCTAGAGGAGTGGTTGGGAAGGACTGGTGACAGCCAAGATAAAGTGCAATGGAGCAAATGATGCAGGTGGCTTTTCCTTCTTCTTCATCGAACATTTCCAATGCCATTGCTTCTCAAAAAACGTTTTGCTTGTATACCTGTTGTTTGTGCCTAGTGAGCTTATATGTTATATTACACGGTTCATCAAAATACTTGTCTCGTTTTGGTTGGTTTCACATAGCTTTAGCGTCTCAGGTTTCTTTTATTAACTTTTTTCTGTTTTCTCATGTAATTAAATGTAACTAGAGAGATCTTCTGTATGATCGCGCAGTTAAACTCTTTGGCGATGCTTTTTTTCCCTGGTACGCCCAAAAGCAAAATCATATTTGTGAAGCAGGATTTATGCGTATATGCTTGCTTCCAGCAACACTCCTGGTACAAGCTAAACATTTCCAAAATTGTACGGTATTTTTTGGAACTTATCCCGCAGGAAAACTCCAGCTCCCATTTATTACGAATACGATCATGGTTATTGCTTAAGCCTGGCACATCTGCAAACACCCTTGAGATGTTGCCGTTCACCTTTGTTGTCCAGATTTGTCTCTTCAGTAGTGTTAGGCAAGATACCTTGAATCCTTAGTTCGCAAACATTTCGTGCAAAACTGGAGCTGCTTGTCACCCGGGGTTGGGGGGGTTGTGGGGCCGGGGTGGGGATCTTGACAGGTTCCCGGTTGTGTAATGCGCTTCGATCAATACTTAGTTCTCCCTATTTATCTGATCTTGAAAGCAAGATCTAATAACCAGCCGACTCCAGCTGACATAAATAGATAAGATAAACCATCGCAAAATATGGAGGTTGATCATGTCAGCAAGACCAGTTGATGATGCTCCGACGATAGTTGAGTCTTCTCTGGTGATAAACTTGTACATTGAGATCGATCATCGTTCGGTAATGTTTTTGCACGAAGAGATTTGATCATCTTCTAGGAGTCTTGAACTTCATTAGCAGAGAGCTCTGCGATTGCATAAGCACCCTTTCTGGTGGGATCCGTCCTGAAGTATACGTGGATTGAGTCCTAACCACACACAATTTCGTACACAGTTGTGAATATTCACGAAGACTTCTAGCTTGGATTATTCAGAAACTGCAAGAAGAGATTTTCTTAACCATATGGACTTACGACACCAATGAAATTCTTGATACTCTAATCTTACGACGATCGAATTTCTTGCTGAATGCATTAACTCGTTTTTTTTTTTTAAAAAAAAGGACAAGGAAAAGAAAGTAAAGGAAATAAATAAATACATGGGACCAATCAAATAAATTTTTATAAAGCAAATAATTTTATTTTTAACATCAAAAACTTATTCCACTATTTATATATAAATATGTGATCTTGATACATGTTATTATCATGTTATTATCATAATGGGGTTATGCTAAAGACCAGAAACAACGAAGTGATTAAAGGTTCAATCACTCCATTATAGAATCAAGTGTATTAGGTCAAGCAGTAAGGTTATTCTCAAGTTTTTTCATGGGATGCAGAGGGTACAGCTTCATCTGCTTGCCGTTTTGTTTCTTGGGTTCTTCCTCCTTTGATTGGTGGAAGCTTAATGTGGATGGCAGTGTTTTTGGGGCTTCGGGCGATGCTGGTGTTTAAGGGTTAATTCGTGACCATGCTGGCAACTGGATTAAGGGTTTCTCGGGTTATAGTGGTTGCACAACTATCACGGCTGCTGAACTTGGAGCTCTGCAAAGTGATTTACAGTAGGCGCTCTCCATAGGATGTGCTCATTTGGAGGTGGAGTCAGATCGTCTGGAAACCACGCAGTTTATTTCTTCGTTTCCGGCTGGTGACCACCCTCGCTCTCACCTGATTAGTGATGCGAGGCTGCTTCTCTCGGCATTCCTCAATTCAGGGTCTTGCATACGCTACATGAGGGTAATCGGTGTGCTGATTTCCTTTATAGCAAGCTTGCTTTGGATCAAACTTGGGCTTCTCCCCTTGCCGATCTTGGTGGATGCTCTTTAAGCTGATTTAGCTGGTGCTATTTTATAGCAGGAGATAGTTTTCTTGTCTTGCTATAGTTATTTTATGTACCCAAGGGGGGAAAATCTCTGTATCTCAGGACATTTTGTGCAGGCACGGACAAGGACACAACATCGGTAGCCTTGCAATGGGTCATGGCAGAGCTAACCAACAACCCAGGGATATTCAAGAAGCTTAGAGATGAGACCAATACAGTTTAACAGGCTAGTCAAAGAATCCGACGTCCCAAAACTCTCTTACCTAAGGGCAATCTAAGACTTCACCCTTCAGCACCCTAAATCACACGAGAGAATGTGCTGAATATTGCAAGGTCAACGGTTTCTGATATCAGAGCCAAGACACGAGTTGTAACTGATGTCTACGCTATCTCGAGGGATTCGAATTCATCGGATAATTCGAATGAATCCATGCCTGCAAGTTTCTTGGTGTTTTTAGGGGGGAAAATTGTGTCCTGGTGCATCGCTTGCTACGATGGTAATAGGGGCTTAGGTGTTTGTTTTAAACCCAAGTTCAATGGGTTGGCCTGGAACCTGTGAAGACCGGTCCAAATTATAGAAAAAATAAATAACTCAGCTGGCAGGACATGATTAATCTAAGCTTGACATCAACCCATTGATTTTTTTTAAAAGATGTTTTTTTTTTTTCCCAAACCCATGATAAGGAGTTTGCCCCGGGTCAGCTTTAAAGCTATGCTTTGGAGAGTGCTTTGTTTGGAAAATCAAGGACTGGGAGAAGAT